ATATGTTTGTCTTTTTAAAGACGAATTACATGCTATGATTTTTTTCTGACGGATATTCTCAAGTTAAAGTTAATTTCATGTAATCGAATGAACTATCTTATAAGTAAAGTCGTCCCAGGAGCGCAACTCAACAATATTGGCAATACCATTTTAAAGTCGTCTACTTTAAAATGCATAATGTATGTCTGAATTGTCAATATAAACGAGTCAGATAAAATTAAATTATTAGAAGAATTTTTCACTATGTAACAAAAAACAAAATTTGTTTAATTTACTGTTTGTATTTTGGGAACGATTTCCGAAGTGGAAATTGAAACGTCACTAAACGTATTTTTATCTTTAATTGTGGCTTATTCCCAGTTAAATAGTAACAACATATAAATAATTAGGAACATAAACAAAAGAAATCAAATCCAGAATAGAAATGGCAAGAAACACGTTCATAAAATTGAAGAACTTACTTTGCAACCGTAACCTTAATCTAGAGATCCGCACAAGAAGGCTACGTTGTTAGGTTTTTTCTACTTTAATATACGGCATGGAAGCGTGGACAATAAAACAGTCAAAAATCAAAAAATTAAACTTCTTAAAGCTACAGGAGAATCCACAGAATATCGTGGACTGAAAAATAACTAATATATAGGTGTAACAAAAACGAACTCGGCCTGCATGACGGCTGGGTGAATTGAGTAGTTTAGCTGTTATGTTTCCGGTACCAAGCCCGGATAAAGGAGGATGAAAGAGGAGTAACAACCTCTTAAAAAACTAGGGTTCATCTGGCTCGGATGATAGTACCCTGTAAGGGCTCCTGCCTAGGGTTACAGGCGAAGGTCAACGGTGGACGGAGCAAACGAGATTCACTCGGAGTGCACGAGTGAAATCCAATGGTCCCAAAAGCGGAAGAACCGAGTTAAGGGAAGACTAGTCCCTACGTTCCTGAAAGACAACTAGTCTAGAGGAAGAAAGACTTGATTAAAAATTACCCGGTCCTCCTGGAGGGGGTTAAGTCATGGGGCCAGCACCTCCATACTTGTAGTAATCCTATAAATGCTAATAATCCTAGTACTATATCTCGGAAAACGGACGGACTCAAACGAAGACGAAACTCGCTAGGGAAAAGGAAAATGATTTGGGCAACATGGAACGTCCAAGGATTAAGAAATTAAACGGAAGATGTAATTAAAAACCTTGAAGAAATGAAGGTTGATGTAACAGTGCTCACAGAAACCAAAAATAAAGGAAACGGGATTGATCAACAGTCAGACTATTTACATATACACAGTGGAGTTCCAAAAAATAATAGGGTTTCAAAAGGTGTATCAATATTGATACATAAAAAATATCAGAAAGGTCTTACTAGCTGGGAAACAGAAAATGACCTACTAAACGAAACCCTTATAAAAGTAGGAAACCAGAGAGAAATTATACTTTAATTTTTTTTAACTCGAGAGTAGGAAAAAGGTAGAAAGATCCTGTAATCGGAAGATATGTTGAAGAGGTTGAAAATGATAATGGTAGACTACTAATTGAATTATACCAACACCACCAGCTAAGAATATGGAACGGTTATTTTAAACATAGAGATATACATAAATACACTTGGCACCAAGACACTAGAAACATAAAATATATTATCGACTACGTCATTACAAAACAAAACCCTAAATTAAACATCCAGGACACTAGAACTTACAGGGGTAAGAAATGTGGATCTGACCATTATTTGGTTGTGGCTAAGACTCTGATTCCATTTAACCGAGACTTTGAAAGCATCAACACTCCAAAAGGAACTGATATAATTCTGAAGAGATATAATGTCAGAAGCCTACAAGAATATAGCACCAAAATCTTATTCCAAAATAGATTAAATGAAAAACTTCTCGAGGAATACCTAACTGCTGAAACCAACCAATTATACGAACATATAACTGACTGTATTCACCACGTAGCCCAAGAAGCTCTAGGCGAAGAAACCAGAACAGTCCACAGATCAGCGGGAAAAATCACTTGGAATACATAGCTTGAAAAGCAAAGAAATAAGAAACAGGAAGCGTACAAAATATGGCTGAACACTAAGAATCTTGAAGATAAAGAAATATACAAAGAACAGCAAAGAATATTTTAAGACATGACAAGGAACAACAAAAATGAAACATGGGATGCAAAATGTAAAGAAGTTGACTGTTACATCGGAGGAGCGTGATCATCAGCGGCATGAAAATTAATAAAAACCCTGAAAACCGACACATCAAATAAAAGTCGAATACAGCCCACCCAGATAGATACATGGAAAGATCATTGCGCAAGGGAACTGAATGAAGACAGATATTTATAATACTGACTCACCTCAACGAATACGAGTACAAGGTGAATATGTAAACGTGAAAGAACAAATACAACAAGCGCTTAGATCGATGAAGAATAACAAAGCATCCGGGCCGGAGAACATACCAGTAGAACTTCTAAAAAACGGAACATATATCCAGGTCCAAAAGATATTTGTGGAAACTACAGATGTATCTCTGTCACCAGTACCTTTAGCAGGCTGTTTGGTAAAATCTTAAAAAACACAACTGAATGAAAAGAAAGTTGCAAGAAACCAGGAAATACATCTTTTATTTGTGGATCTCACAAACGCATATGACACGATTCCTGTGAGAAAGCTGTGGCAATCTCTTGAACGATCATCATTAAATAGCACGATAATCGCCGCAGTCAAACAATTATACAATAAAGCATCATCAAAAATCAAACTTAACAACATCTTATCAGAAGAATTTCCAGTAACAAAAGGCTTACAACAAGGACTGCCTCTCTCCAATACTATTTAAGATATATTTCAATAGAGCACTAAAACACTCGAGAAGATCCTTTTCAGGAATGAGGATCCAACTTGACGACGATACAACATTATACACTCTAAATTTTGCGGACGACCAAGTAGTAGTGGCAGCAGAAAAGGAAGATTTAGAATTCATGACGAGATGGTTGTTTAAAACATATAAAGAGTGGGGCCTCTCTGTAAATAGAAACAAAACGCAATGCTTATGCATCGGGAATGAAGTAGAAGATCTAATGGTCAACGAACATGAAACAATCAAGAACTGTGAGGAATATATATATTTGGGAACAACAATCAACAAGAGTGGGCGCACCGAAAAAGGGATAGAGCAAAGAATCGTGAAAGAAAAAAGGGTGATTGGATGCCTAAGCTCGATGCTATGGTCAAAAGAACTATCAAGTCAAAGAAAACATCTCCTTTTTAACTCCATCTTTAAAAGTATAGTGCTCTATGGATGCGAAACATGGAAACTTACTAAATCCCTTGAGCGACGCCTACTTGCATTGGAAATGGACTTCTGGAGAAGATCAGCTAGAAAATTAATGCATGCTTGATAGAATACAAAATGACCATATCAGAAATATAATGGGAGTCAAGTCAACCATCATTGATGAAATTCAAAGGAGACAACTGATCTGGTATGGTCATGTAGAAAGAATGGACGACGACAGGCTGCCAAACCAAATTTTAAAATGGACACCAAGGGAAAGAAGGAAGACAGAAAGGCCAAAACGATCCTGGTTGGGCGGCATTCAGAAGGCAATGTCAGAAAGAAACCTTCACCCTGGCGAATGGAATGACCGACGTAGCTGGAAACTGGGAACCGGAAGGCGGAGAACGCTATAAAAAACCGGGATATTAATAAACAAAGAATGAAGAAAGAATGTGAAGTCATAAAAACTGTTAAAATTAGAAAGATTCAATATCTGGGTCGTATAATGAGGGGCGAGAAGTAGGTTACTAGGTTAAATATGCAAGGGAAGAGGGAAGAGAAACCTAGGACGACGCAAAATATCCTAGCTAAGAAATTTGAGAGAGTGGTTCGGTTGCAGCTCATTAGAATTATTTAGAAGTGCGGCCAATAAAATTAAAATAGCGATGATGATTTCCAACCTTCGATAGGAGAAGGAACCTGAAGAAGAAGTCTAAGGATGATATGAGCGCACTGTCGTGTCTGACAATATTTCGTGTCGACTGTTGGGAATAAAATAGATACAAACTAAAGAAAGATAATTTAGAATAAAAAATAGATAGTAGTGACCCTGTTAAATTCTCAAATACAAATGTATAACCAATGCAGTTGGCATAAGAGGATTTCATGTCGCTTTAACAAGGAAGCAAGCTCTGATTTTTTCTGACTCCTATAATAATTATTTGAACGATATGAAACTAGCTGAAGATAATTAATCTTACTTATAGCTAGCAAAGTAGCCATAGGTGTAGAGAATTAAGTTTCTTTTATCTTCTATGAAGTGGTAACATACTTGAGTTTTTAACTTTGCCTGTTGTTCTACCGTTTTAAACTGTCTAAAATCGCCCATTATTTCAAAAAATGCCGAATAACGACAAGACGCTTAGCCGACTACTTCCGACAACAACGACAATAACACTAGACTAACATTAGACTGAATGTATGCTTAACAAGAAGGTACCCATATTCAACGAGATATAATAAAATGTAATGGAAATCAAATAACGCAGTTGGAGACTATTCCTGGTATAGCTGGAAATACCACAGGCTCAAAAATATTTTGATTACAAAGTTCACTATCGAAAAGCTATGCAGCTAAATTTTCAGATCTCAAATCAATTTAGATTGGTAGATACGTCTTAGAGGCCACTCACCGCAAAACACTCAATATTAGTATATCACTTTAATTTCAAAGCAATTCGTTTAACATAATTTCTGAATTTAATAGATAATCACGTAAACAAAAAGTTTAACAGCGCCTCGAGAAAAATGCCGGTGATGGGTTTACCTATTTGAGATGATTAGTTTACGCGTCTCCAAAGGATGCCGGTAACTAGTTATATCTCTAACTACTTATATCTCTATAACTACTTATATCTAGCTATATCTCATAGGGATTAATAATTTTATAAGGGGCTATAAAGTGATAAGTTCGTACACGTCAAAATAAATTAGTATTTTTAATACCTGATGATGCAGCTGTAGCTTTGGTCCCTTGTTCATTTACTCCTATAAATGCTTTTTGTGTAACAAATTGAATAAAAAGATCTCTTTGGGTTGATATGCCTGTCATATCTGCCGATTCTTCAAATACTTGAGTAATACCTAACTGTAAAGATAAAAAAATATTAATATATTACTGAAAGATAAAAAATAGGTGAAATCAAACGGCTTTAAATATGAAATAGGGTAAAGGAACAATGTGCAAATGATAGAAAATAACAAGAAATATTTTCATAAAACGTTAACATCTGCAAAAGAATTGAGATATATAAGTGTAAATAAGTACTTATCGCTGAAATAATAAACATAAAAATTTTTAATAAAAACTGCTTTCAAAAAATTAAAAAAGTGTATCACAAAAGGAAGTAAATAAAAGGAATTTTATATATAAATATACAGAAACCGAAGTACAAGTAAAACAATTAAAATTTCATAGTCAAAAAATATTTTACATGCGTTTTGAATTAAAATTAGTCAATGCCGAAACGTGTTTTAACAAAACAATTACTAAACAAGCGAGAATTTTTATTAAAAATAAGATTATTTATTGTAACCGATCTTGGAGGTCACATATTTAAAAGTATTCATATTTTATTATAAAAAGGACATTTGCTGACTGTCAAAAAATATAGTTTGCTTATTACTTTTCCCTACATATCACAATTTCTATAGTTTTCCTAGTTCTTTCGTCTTTTGTTCTTTTTACTGTCTTTTGAATGGAATCAATTTGTAATCTTCTTATTTTAAGTGCATCTACCAACTCCATACTCTTATCGGTACGATTTCTACGATTCCAGATGTTTATTCTACCAGTTATAGATATGTAAGTATTCTATAACACACTTCTATAACACTGTAGCACTTACTAAAAAACTATATTGGAATCAAATGGCGTCGATCAAAATGTACAATCGTCTGACAGCAGAATTGCCAATAAAAAGATTAGTTCGTCAGGGCTGTGTACTTTCTCCACTGTTATTTAATATATATTCCGAAAACATCTTTCAAAATGCCCTCGAAAATATTGAAGAAGGAATAAAAATCAACGTTGAATACGTAAACAATTTAAGATACGCACACAACACCGTCATTATTGCGGACAGTGCTGAGGGTTTACAACGACTTTTGAATGTCATAACTAGAGAGGGAGATGGCTTGGGACTAAATATAAGCACAAGTAAAACAAAAGTAATGGCTGTTATACGTGCACCAAATGTCCACATTGATATTCATATCTATAACAAAAATATAGAATCAGTACAAAAAATCCAGTATCTTGATTGCTAAATAACAAACTATCTTGACCACGAGGTCGAAATACGTGCTCGTATAGAATATGCTAGGTCCGCATTTCAACGAATGAAAAAATTCCTAATACACTCTACGTTATCGTTGGATATCCGATACTAATTTGTAAAAACGTTTATTTATTCCATATTGCTATACGGAGTGAAAAAAAGCAACTCTCGGAATTACAAGTATGAGGCGTATAGAAGCCTTTAAGATGTGGGTTTTTCGAAGGATGCAGAAGATCTCTTGGACATAACACGTGATCAACAACGAGGTGCTAAGAAGAATGGGTACTGAGAGAGAACTCCTAAATATTGTAAAAAATAGAAAAACGAGTTATATAGGACATATTTACAGAGGAGAAAAATACAACTTCCTACGACGAGCTCCAGGAAGAAGAAAATGCTTCTGGTTGAAGAATGTAAGAGACTGGACAGACATGGATACATATTCAATACTAAGAACAGCTCAAGATAGAGAGCAATTGGCTGTAGTTATAGCCAACCTTCAGTAATGGAGAAGGCACCTTAAGAAGAAACAATATACATATATATATATATATATATATATATATTATATATATATATACATATATATATATATATATATATAAATATATATATATATATAAATATATATTATATATATATATATATATATATATATAGAGAGAGAGAGAGAGAGGAGAGAGAGAGAGAGAGAGAGAAGAGAGAGAGAGAGAGAGAGAGAGAGAGAGAGAGAGGAGAGAGAGAGAGAGAGAGAGAGAGAGAGAGAGAGAGAGCAGTGGCAGGCAAACAGTGGATTAGATTGGCGCAAGATAGAGAAAGATGGAAGCATTTGGGAGAGATATACATTTAGGAGTGGATGGAAAATGGTTGACAAAGGAGTTATACCATTGATAAAGGCGAGTTTTTTATATTTAATTGACTCATTGGTAGAATCAAGGACAGGACCATCATAGAAATTACTGCTGTAAATGAGTTTTTTTAAAATATGTTTAGGATAGCCGTTGTTTCGCAAAATTTTTTGTATATGTCCAGATTTTTTTGTAACAAATTATCATCAACAATGGACATTACCCTGTTTTTCATACCCAATACTGTATTATATTTTTGACGAGTGGAGTGGTTTGAAAAGTAATTTATATACCTGCCCGATGCTGTTGGCTTTTGGTACCAATCCAATGTCAGAATATTGTCATTTGCTCTTATTACCTTTGTGTCTTAAAATGGTGTACTAAGATCTGTCTCGATTTTAATTGTAAACTGAAGATGTTCATTAAATGAATTATAGATGTTTAATGTGGTATTGATGTGATAAGATGGAACTGAACATATGATCTCATCGACATATTTATATATAAATGGTAATTCGAAAGGTAATTGCGTGATCACATTGCCTAAGAGATGATCAGTTACAATAGTAGCAAGGATGGAACTAATCGGGGAACCCATAGGTGTTTCAAAAATTTGGGAGTAAAATTTTTCATTGAAACTGAAATAAGTGTTATTAAAAATGAACCAGAGAATTAGTAAAAAATTACCTTTAGATAATGTCGTGTAGTCTTTTATAAGGTTCCAATTGGATTCTATAATGTTCGTGACCATATTTAGTGGAATGTTTGTAAATAAAGAAACCACATCCAAAGAAATCAAAACATAATCTTTTGGCAACTGCATTCCCCTAACAGCATTGACAAAGGTAAAGGTGTCCTTAGAATTATAATATTGCAATATTCAAATGCATCATTTAAGATATTAGCAAGAAATTTAGAAATGTTATACGTAGTGAACTTTAAAGAATTTACAATAGGCCTAAGAGGAACATCCAATTTATGGATTTTAGGCAAACAATAAAGTTTTGGAGAGCATGAGTCATAGATTGTTAACTTTTTTGCAACTTGTTCAGTAAGTGATCAAAATGATTCTAACGAAAATACTTCTCATTTATTCAGAAATAACACTAGTTCATGAAAAACAGAATTTGATACAAATAAGGCAGGAGAATTTATGATAATAATATTTAAAAGAATTACCTTTTTTAGCAGTGGTATGTAGTTTATTGAACTGGTAATATTAAATTTAGGAATAGATACATCAACTAACTCATTCGTTAATTTCTGCTTCTTTAGATACTTATGAATGTTATTTTCTATAGAGCATAAACCATCTTGCTCATGTGGTAATACAAAAGTCATACTTGTATTTGAGTTTTTATAAGGAATTTCTAAAAATTTGACTTTCAGTTCAGATGAGTCCAAAAAAAGATATGTATTAATAGAATTCATTGTTTTAACTATCTTGGCAATTTTATTGTTATTGCAATATCTTGGAAGGAAACTTTGGTCCTTTGTTCCCTGAGAACTAAACGATTTTGCCCAGTGTCCTTGAAAATATAAGGCACTAACGGTAACAAATTTGGTTAGTGCACTTAATTCATTGGCATCTACTAAATCTTGAATGGTGTTATTTGTTTCCTGAGCGACCCACTTATTAATATTATTAGCAGCTAAAACATTGTTTGAAAAATCAATATTTTCTATATCTGATTTGTAAGTATTTCTTGCCAGATCCAGAAACGATGGAAGTACTACAAAGTTTTTGGAGATGTACAATTTAATAGCCAAAGATTCTTCGAATGAATCTCTTTTAATAGGATTCTCAAAACTGTTAATAATATCTGTTCTATATTTAATATTTGGTAATTGAAGTCCTGTGGTTAATTGTTGAGCTGTTACCCCTTTGCATCCTTCTCCAACCAAGGCTAAAATAATTTGTACTCCAAGGGGACTTGTAATAAAGTTTTTATCTTTGGTCTTATTATCGATAACCAACTCCTAAAATTAAACATAATTATTATTACACAAAAAAATTAATTAAGTTAACATAGTACTGGAATTCAATTCACATAGGACATGCGGCCATTTCCGGATTATTCCAAGGTTCACAAAGCAACTCACTTTTAATAACCTTTAATAAGCCACAATTAAAGGTTAAAGTACGTTTATTGACGTTTCGATTTTCATTTCGGAAATCATTCCCAAAATACAAACATTAGTAAATTAAACAAATTTTGTTTTTTTTTGCTACTTAGTGAAAAATTCTTCTAATAATTTAATTTTATCTGACTCATTTATATTGACAATTAAGACATACATTATACATTTTAAAGTAGACGACTTTAAAATGATATTGTCAATATTGTTAAGTTGTGTTCCTGGGACGACTTTAATTATAAGATAGTTCATTCGATTACATGAAATCAAGTTTAATTGCGTGTTTCTTCATGTCATCTGACCATCAGCTGTGGCCTTTCTCGTTTTTGTTTGTTACTATATGGTCTCCAGTGTATATTCATCTTATTCCATCTGTCGTCTTTCTGTCTTATGGTATGTCCAGCAAACTTCCACTTAAGTTTTGCTATCTGCGTTGATACATCGGTCATTTTTGTTTTGTTGCGGATCCAAGTATTTCTTTTCTTGTCTGATAGCCTGATGTGCAGAATTTGCATTTCCATGGTTTTTTGGGTCTTTACTATTTTTTTCCATGTTTTCCCTGGTAAACGTCCAAGTTTAAGAACCGTAGGTGAGAACCGGAAGTATACATTGGTTGAAGACTCTTGTTTTTAAATATTGGGGGTATTTTCTAATTTTTAGTGTACAGAAAAGGTTTCCATAGGATACCCAAGCTAACCGTATCCTTCTCTTTTCCTCACCGGTCTGATTTTCTTTATTTAATTTAACTAGTTGTCCTAAATATACATATTCTTTTACTTGTTCTATAGTTGTTTGTGTAATTGTAATTATTAATTCTTCTGGTTGATTGGTCATAATTTTCGTTTTATTATAATTCATTTGAAAATTCATAATTAATTCATATCTTGGGAATATCCGGCAGAAAAAATCATAGCATGTAATTCGTCTTTAGAAAGACAAACACATGCCATGATGACAGTAAAATTCTCCTGTTAGTGATTCTATAATAAACTATGAGGGAAAACCCAGGAAAAACCCTCATAATAGTATCCCGATATGGTAAGTATTTGGTCCTGCATTTAGTTACCTTCAATTAACAACAAATTCTGATTTTATGTTTGTTATTTAAAAACATAAATGATGTATCCTCTATATGTTACTGACTTACTAATACTGGTATTTTCCTTTTAATAAATTCCTCTTTCAATATGGGAAACCAGATCCTACTACATTTTGACGAGGAATGTGCGACACAATAAGTTGGTCTCATTTAGCATAATTAGAGCCGCTTATTTGATTTTTTTTCTATTTATTTATGTATTTATATATTTATTTTAGGACAAAGTATTGCATTTATAAAATATCTTGTAAATAAACATAGGAAATTTGATAGATCTCAAATATGTAAACATTCATAGGATAATGAACATAGGGTTCAATGGAATTATTCAAATATAGTCCTAAAAGAAACGGATAGTAAAAAGAGAAAAATCAAAGAAGCAGCTCTAATTATGCTAAATGAGACCAATTGTGTCAAATTCCTCAGCAGAATGTAGTAGGATCTCGTTATCCATATTTAAAGAAGAAGTTATTGAAAGGAAAGTACCAGTATTAGTAAGTTAGTAACATATAGAGGATATGCAATTTGTGTTTTTTAAATAACAAACATATAAAATCCGAATTTGGTGTTTATTGAAGGTAAACTAAATGCATGACCAAGTACTTACCATGTCATAATAGTATTAGGAGGTTTTTTCCTATTATTTCCCTCATAATTTACTATGGAATCACTAAAATGAGAATTTTACTGTCATCATGGCATGTGTTTGTTTTTTAAAGACAAATTACATGCTATGATTTTTTCTGACGGATATTCTCAAGTTAAAGTTGATTTCATGTAATCGAATGAACTATCTTTTAAGTAAAGTCGTCCCAGGAACCCAACTCAACAATATTTGCAATACCATTTTAAAGTAGTCTACTTTAAAATATAATGTTTGTGTGAAATGTCAATATAAATCAGTAAGATAAAATTAAACTATTAGAAGAATTTTTCACTAAATAACAAAAACAAATAAAATTTTTTTAATTTACTAATGTTTGTATTTTGAGAACTATTTCCGAAGTGGAAATTAAAACTTCAATAAACGTACTTTAACCTTTAATTGTAGCTTATTTCCATTTAAATAGTAATTACTTTTAAATGCCACACGACAATTGCTTCAGAACAATATCATTTTTAATTTGTCTCATATTGTCAAAAGGAAAAAGTACGAGCTCTTGATTTATGTGGTGCAACCTCTTCATAAATTGTAGAATAAAGTACTTAGATATAAATTAAGCAAGATTATTGTTAGAAATATACAAACATATTCAATTTATACATTTCCAATGGTTAAATACGAAAAAATACTTAGAGAAACACCAATATAAATGGAAAATATTCTAATATGATGTCCGTTACAAAACGTATTAATTTAATCATATTAAATTTCACCTTAATGATGGATTTTAATCTTAAATTTCTTCACCAATAGATTTTCCAAAGTTTAGCTCGCCGGATAATCGCTCGCCTAGACGTCTTTATAAAAATGTTGGATGGTTTTTAGTTCTCACTTTTTCCAGAAGATGGGCAAGTTACCGAAGTAGTTCCATCTACCCTTCTTCTAAGTCTATTTAACCTCTTTCATACCTGCCTGTTCAAACCTCTGCCAGATCATAAGGCCTCTGTGGGATACCTCCAGTATTGTAGACAACTCATCCTTCCACATATATTATCATTTCTGTGCTTGTCTTAGTGTCTAATAAAACTAGATAGAAAGCTGTTTATCGTGACTCGTGTTTATACGTGACTGGTGCATGCGTCAATTTGATTTTTTTCGATGTTGGCTATTTAACATACAATTTTTATACAACTAAACACAAACACAATTTCGCTAGTAATACTGTCGTGGTAACTATAGGTGAAGCTTATGAAAAAGCAATCAAAAGACTGATATTTTTTGTACACACTTATGACAAGTCGAAAGAAAATGCAAAAAAGTATTTTTGAAGTGTGTATATTTTAGGCAATTCCTAGCTGAGCGCTTTCGGCTTTACAAAGCCATCATCAGAGCTATGCTACAATAAAATGTTCTAATAAGTACTAATTGGTAAAGATTGTAATTTTTAACTTACGTCAATTTTTTAAATACCACTACAAAGGAGAGATCTCATTTCCTTAAGTTTCACAATTATGATTTTGTAGGAGTTGGAATTTTTAAAAACATATAAAAAACATATAAAAGGTCGACACTGGACGTCACAAACACGTTAAAAAATTGAAAATTTTTTTTTTTTTGTCATGGTACGGGTTTAAGACCCGACCATCTATTGATGTGAGGACGTAGACTGAATAGAACTAGTGAAATCAAATGTCGGTCCTTTTAAACGATTTTTCAAAAGTGACAGGTGACAAATGTCATATATAGGAAATAGAGATTGTTTTTTTTAAATTCTTACAAAATTATTTAGTAGTTTGGAATTACTACTAGTCATCAAAGACTTTCTAAAAATTAAGTTTTTAAAATTAAATTTTATGTGTTCATCACATCATACAGAATGACATTAATTTGTAAATTGACTCAAGTCATTGCTCAAGGTCAATGTATGTTCAATCTGACAGCTATCCTTAAGGAACAAGGGCTCAAATTGTTCAACAACACTATAAAGAAGAAACCTGGTATTAATGTTATGTTATCTGATACTTAAGTGTATTAAGAATTGTGTGTCTTGATGGAAAATTGTAAGAACTTTGCATAAAAAATTTTTTAAGAATGTATTTTCATGTTTCAATTAAGAACAACTGTCAAATGAATTACAAAATGTTGTAAATTTTAATAAAGTTTAAAATTTGTTTAAAAAATAAAAGTATGAAAATATATAACAAGATTGCATGAGGTCACCCTTCTTCCTCTAAAGTCTCCCATAATAATTTAAAAAGAGGTTTATAGTTGCAATTGAGGTTGATTTGTGTGTTTAAGCAACAATCAGGGTTTATTTTCATTTCTTTGGATATCTCTAGATCTTCCAAGAGATTCATGAGTCTAAAGTTTTTATTAGGAATGTTGTGTAAAATTTTACTGTTTTCAGAAGGAGAAAAAGAATGATTATTAAATTTAATGTGATATCCAAAGTTTGATTTTTCTGGGTTATTGAGGTGTTCTTTGATTCTTTGATTCAGAGTTCTCATTGTTCTACCTACATAAGTCATATTACAGTCACCACAGGACAGCTTGTAAATACCACTTCTGTTTAGTTAGTCAACTTTGTCTTTGGTCTTGCTGAAGATGGACTTGATGTTATATTTGGTTTTAAAGGAGATGTTTAAGTCATTAATTTTATTAACAAGTACTCTTGAAATTTTTTCTGAAATTGGTCCTAAGTAAGTTAAGGATCTATATATGGAAGTAGTGTTGGATTTGTTATCAACATTAAAAGCTTGGTTTAGTCTCTTTTTGAGTATAGATTTTCTAATGACTTTATCAACAGTAGTAGAAGGAAAACCATTGTTGTTTGCTATCTGTTTAATGATGGAGATTTCTTTATTGTAATTTTCTTGAGACATAGGGATATTAAGAAGTCTGTGGACATAACATTGAATAGCTGCCATCTTGTGTTGAAAAGGATGATTTGATGATGTTGGTATCATATGGTCAGTTTGAGTAGGTTTTCTGAATATTGAAAATTCTAGTGTAGGCAAAGAAGAAAAGGAGGAAGTATTCTTTTTGATAGTTAGGTCTAAAAAGTTGATAATGTGTTTGTGACGTCCAGTGTCGACCTTTTATATGTTTTTTATATGTTTTTAAAAATTCCAACTCCTACAAAATCATAATTGTGAAACTTAAGGAAATGAGATCTCTCCTTTGTAGTGGTATTTAAAAAATTGACGTAAGTTAAAAATTACAATCTTTACCAATTAGTACTTATTAGAACATTTTATTGTAGCATAGCTCTGATGATGGCTTTGTAAAGCCGAAAGCGCTCAGCTAGGAATTGCCTAAAATATACACACTTCAAAAATACTTTTTTGCATTTTCTTTCGACTTATGAAAAAGCGACAAGATTATTACAAAACTCTGTTCAACACAATTATAAATACGAGTAGCACACTATAGGATAAAATGTGTTGAAACTGGCCAAAAAATCATCAGAAAAAATAAGTCACACTACAGATAGAAGCTGATAGCTATAAGGGTAGGAACACTGTTTCAAAATTATTTAAAAACTTCTCTTTTAATATATACTCTATACACATAAAGGAAAATAATTAGTAGAGCAATTAGTGGATAAAGTAGTGGAGCTCGGTCTAAAAACAAAAAATGACTGAATTTAGTAACCAAGTTCAATATCTCACTTAAGGGACAGACTTTAAAAGACTCCAAGAGGGGAGTAACATTTGAACACACACACATACACACACACGGCCATCAACCCTGCCCCTAAAGAACATGTGTATAACCATTGTATAGTGTGATCAACATGTCCAAAGATCAAACCGGTCATACTTCTGTATAAAGTGGTACCTATTTGACATCAGGCTTTTTCTCCACCTCTCCTTATTGTGTGACTGATGCGGGGAGGTTTATGATCCTAGGCATTACTTTGAATGCCTTGAGAAATGAGATATCCTCTTTTTTCATCACTGTGATTAGGCCACCTAGCTGTAGAGGTAGCACACATATCGGCTTTTCTTCCTATTTACAGTACTGACTCCATTAAAGTAAAATATACGACTCAGGTTTGATTTTTATTATTTTAGTCTTCTTCTTCTTAACGTGCCCTATCGAGTCCCCTTAACGTTGGCGATTAACATGGCGAAACTGTCTCTGTCTCGAGCTATTCTAAAGAGTTGCTTAGCTTTCTTTATTCCTGTCCACTCTCTGATATTCTTCAACCAAGAGGCCTGCTTTCTACCAATTCCTCTGCGTCCTTCGATTTTACCCATCATAATTAGTTGAAGAATATTATATCGGTCTCCCCTTACTACGTGTCCAAAATAGGCCATCTTTCTACATTTGATGTTATCAAGCAGCTCGCGAGCAGCATTTGCTCTCTCAAGGACTGGCACATTTGTCAGCATAGCCGTCCATAAAATGTTTAGTATACGTCTGTGCAGCCACATTTCAAAGGCCTCCAGACGATTAATGGTGGATATTTTTAATGTCCATGCTTCGAAACCGTATAAGAGGACTGACCAAATGCAGCATTTAACCATACGCTTTCGAAGTTGAAGTTTCAAGTTATCATTACAGAAGAATGACCTCATTTTTAAAAATGTCGTGCGGGCTATCTCGATTCTACATTTTATCTCTTGATCTGAATCTAGTTGCTCAGTAATATGGCAACCAAGATATTTCAAACTGCACACTCTTTGAATTATATGACCATCAACATATAATCGTGCATCTTGATGTGCTAAACGACTAAACACCATGTGTTTTGATTTTGAACAGTTTATGTTTAGGCCAAACTCTCTTCCCACTGTATCAATCGCATTTAAAAGGCATTGTAATCCATTCATGTCATCACTTAAAATAACTGTATCGTCTGCATATCTGATTGTATTTACCAGAATTCCATTAACTTTCACGCCCCATTCCAAATTATGCACCGCTTCTTTAAATATTCTATCTGAATATAAATTAAATAACAGTGGGGATAGTATACAACCCTGTCTAACATCTCTTTGTATTTTACATATTTCTGTTGATTTTCCGTTTATGCAAGCTGTCGCTGTTTGACGCCAGTATAACTTTTCTATGAATCGTATGTCTTGACTATCAACTCCTTTATATTTTAATATTGTAATTAATTTGTGATGCTGTACTCGATTAAAGGCCTTTTCATATTCACTAAATACAGAAAATGTTAGACAGACTAGACTAAAATACAGCAATATTTTAGTCTAGTCTGGAGTATTAGGAAATCGTTTTCACAAAGGTATTTCTGTGTAGAGAAATTAGCATGAGATGGATACAATTGTAAATCCTCATGCCAGTGCATTTGTTGTCTGCCAGTTTTCCAACGTTTAGAAAACACAGATTTAGGGTGAATCCTAATTTCAATTTTTGATTTATATTCTTAGAATTGGAGAACTTTAAGAAAAGTTGAAAAAGACACTAAGTTGGGTTTAAGTTTTAAATCTACACGCAGAGTTAAAGTAAAAATGCCACTAACAATTGCTCAAATAAAGAAAATAAAAGATACAAACCTCTAGAGGTTCAAGAACTTACGATTGCTTTAGAAACTTTGGTTGGACTTTGCCAACATGATTCCTTGAAAATAAAATAGAGTCTATAAGGATCAATAAAGTTAAAAAATAAGTAATTAACTATTAGGTCTTGCTCCCTTCTTAGATACAAACAATATTCTTCGAGTTAGAGGTAGGTTAAGATACTTTGAATTTGTCTTTAACAAAAAACATCCCATATTGCTACATTCAAGGCATCACTTTACTAAACTACTGTTTCCTTTAGAGCACGAACGTGCATGGAATACTGGCCCATAGCAGGCAGTAATCTTGCGCGAATAACTGTAAAAACTTGCATAAAATATTTTTAGTTTACCGCTAAGACTATTAAGCCCCGTATGTCTGATTTACCTCGGAAACGCATAAATCTTTCTAACGAATGTACCATAGTGGGGGTCCCTTTTCAAATTAAAGATAGAAAAGGAAGGGGATATTATATACTAACATGTTATATTGGTTTGTTCATCTGTTTAGTCACGAAGGCGGTGCAGTTAGAATTAATTTCTAACCTGTCTTCAGAAGCCTTTATTCAAACTCTGCGTCGTTGTCTCGTCTCCAATCGAGGAATACCTTTAAAAATATTTTCAGACAACGGGTTAAATTGTATAAGCGCGTAATGGGAATTGAAACAATTCTTTAAACAAAATAGAGAGCCAATTGTAAATGAGACTTATTTACGATATATAGAGTGAAGTTTTATACCTCCCTATTCACCCCATTTTGGTGGCCTCTGGGAGGCTAAGGTAAAGAGCTTGAAGCATAACTTAAAACGAGCTTTAACAAACATTAATTTACTTTTCGAGAAAATCACTAGTATTCTCTTGCAGATAGAGACAATTTTGAATTCTCGTCCCCTCTACCCTCTAAATGTCGATCCTAATGACCTTACTTCATTAACAGCTGCTCACTTTCTTATTGTAAGACCTATAGTAGCTATTCCGAATCAAGATCTGACCGACATTAATCTGAATATATTGAATAGATTCTTCTACGACAAGTGACCCAACATTTTTGGAACCACTGGAGGATGGACTATGTTACCGAGTTACAACGTAGCACCAAGTGAAGGGCTAACAAGGGGGAACTATTGGAAAATTTGCTAGTATTAATCAAGAACAAGCGTACTTAATCGACACGATGGCCACTAGGTAGAATTTTGAAACTGCAAAAGGGTGAAGATGGAATATCCACATTGGCAACCATCAAAAATGACGCAGCAATTATTAAGAAAGAAGAGTTTCCAGAGCATTTGTCCTCTTGTCAACTTATACTGAACGTAATACATGTGTACTCTTTGTATGTTGTGTATTTGCAGAGCTGACAGCGCCAAGGGGACGAGTACTACAGAACGCCAATGGGGCGTTTTCCGTTTCTAACTTGTGCGCTACTACAGACATTCGACAAGACTTGTCATATATACATAAAAGCATGTGCATATAATATACCATTTGTAATGTTATTTTTACTTTTTATAATTAAATGCTATACAGTTTGAGTTTTTAAGTTAGTTTACTATTCATCAATAAACACACATAACAAAGAACTGCTCTACAAACAAATACTAAGACCAGTATGCACGCATAGTTTCCAACTCTACGGTTGTGCGAATTCAAGTAATATTCAGATCATTCAGAGTCCCAGAATAAAGTATCAAGAAACATGGTTGATTCCCCTGGGTATATCAGAAATGGTGACTCACACAAAAACCTTGAGATGGAAGATTATCACAGTTATCAAGATGATGGAAGGTAGTCACAAACAACGGGGCCATAGTCATTTAAAGAGTGAGGCCATCTAGCTCCTCAATAATATTGGGTTAGAAAGAAGACTCAAACGAAGAAAACCATTTGAGTTAGTGTAAATTAACTAGTGCAAAAGCAGAGCATAGTGCTGTGTTGCGTAATAGCTATAGTGCATAGTTGTTAGATAAAATAAGAGGACACCATAGGGTTAAGCTCTTAGAATTTAAGTATCATTTAGTAAATTAAGTCAAAGAAGAATTGATAATTGATCAACATGTGACCAGATTTTGGTAGTATAAACAGAAATAAAAACATACCTTATATATGCTACCTGAATATTTAACATTACCATTTGCAAATAACTCTACTGCCTCACTAGCAAAACATTGAGAAAAATATCCGCTTATTAAAAACAAACTAAAAAACAGCATTATGTCAGCTTATCAACAAAAGGTATATTTAAGTAGGTTGTAAAATGATTTCATTAACTAGAATTGTTTTTTTAAAGTATTCAGAGTAAGGTTACTTGTAAATAACTCGTATCTTTATCGTTTTATGTTCTATATATACTAAAATTACAAATTTATTGAATACATTTCTAAACCGTACGTCGTTACAAGTCGCATAGGGGAGACCGGCAATAATACGCGTGATAAGGCGTGGTTGCGCCTTAGTTGACTTGAACTGTCTTCCTTCTCATCTTCTTTAAATATAACTAAGTTCTTTTGTATTCAATTTAATTAATGATGACACTAAATAAGGTTCTGTGCGATCCAACAGAATATTGAATCAGCTTGATCAGAAACGGCATTGCAGATAATATTCAATGAAAGCACAAAAATATGTTAAAAAAACTTAATACTGAATAAGCAAAACATAATAAAAGGAAAGGAAAAATGTGAAAGGGAAGATTGGTGTGAAATTATGGAATATATTGGTCCTGTTTGAATGTCTATCTAAGAGTTATATATTAAGCAATAAGAAAGAATTAAAACACAACCTTTTCATTATAGTTCTGAAGCTAAATAATATTGTTCCCAGTTAAATAGTAATTAACTTATCTTTACTGTCAATGAATATGTGCGTAACAGAATAAAAATAAGTTTAGCAGACAAAAAAATAGCATTTTCGTAGTGGAATATCGTGTACAGATGCAATATTTGATATAAAGTAAATTATTGATATCACTAGAGTATAATAGAACAGCAGTTCTGTGTCTGATTGGCCTAAAAAAAGCGTTTGACAGAGTAAGATTTAAAGATGTAATCCATCTTCTATATAATAGAGAAGTTCCGCTAAATATTATAAAAACTATTGAAAACATCTAGCAAAACAACAAAATGCAAGTCAGAATAAATAGACAACTTACACAACCTATAGAAATGGGCAGCGGGATAAGACAAGGGGATTCATTGACCTCCATGCTCTTCAATTTGATTGTGGATGAAATCATCAAAAATGTTAACAAAGGAAGAGGATACAGAATGGAAAACAAAGAAATAAAAATACTCTGTTACGCAGAAGACGCAATATTATAGTCCAAGATGAAGACAGTCTGCACATAATGGTACATAGACTTAACATAAGAGCAAAAGACTTTAATATTACAGTCTCATCTCAGAAAACTGATAATAATAGTCAGCCAAGAAGCAACCAGATATAAAATAGAAATTGATAGCATCAGTATTTATCAAGTAACGGAAATAAAATACCTGGAAATTACGCTGTCTAGCTATGGAGTGGAGCGATATTAACGAACAGTGGAGCAATTTACAGTAAATAAAGTGCCGCATAGGAAAGGCAAGAACGGTCTTTAACAAATTGAGCGCCATCTTCAAAAGTCACAACATATCCCTTGATACAAAAATGAGACATTTGAGATGCTATGTTTTCTCTGTGTTGTTGTTGTACGAAGCATTTGAGATGTTAATTTATAGAAGAATACTGAGAATATCATGGACAGCAAGGATCACGAACAAGCAAGTTCTAGGAAAAATGAAGAAGGAACCAGAGATTGTGTTTACGATCAAACGCATAAAATGGCAATATCTGGGACACGTTATAAGAAATCAGCACCGTTACTCCCGGCTATAGTCTATATTGCAAGGTAAAGTCAAAGGTAAGCGAGGATCCGGTAGAAGGAGAAATATCATGGCTGCGGAATTTAAGAACATGGTTTAAGAAAACCTCAACGGATCTGTTTCGAGCCGCAGCGAGCAAGGTTATGATTGCCAATATGATTTCCAACATCCGAAACGGATAGGAACCAGAAGAAGAAGAAGAAGCTATCGAGACCTGGACAAAAAAGTGGGAGATCAAGTACAAAAATCAAATAAACTGACAGAATGCATTGGTAACACTATATGGCGAAACAGACACATTAACACTGAGATGAAGTTAAGAATTTATAAAGCCAGGGTAGGACCAATATTGACACATGCCTCAAAAACAAAACCCGATACAGCCACAAAGCAAAGGCTACTGGAAACTGCAAAGATGAGATTACTGAGAAGAATTACAGAAAATACGCTAAGAGATCGAAAAATAAGTGAAGACATTAAAAGAATATGTAACGTACAGTGTATAAATGAATGGACAAAAAAAAATAAAATAACCACATAAGCAGAAAGGAGTAGAACCGTGTCGTCAAAATATTATGATATAAGTCAATAATCAGCAGAAGAAGTATCGGAGAACCGCGCAAAAGATGGAGTGAAAACCTTCCATAGAGGTATTAATCCGCTGATGAACAAGCAGAATTGCTTATAAAGAGGAAGAAGAAGAAGAAAAACATACCGGAGGGCGAAAGTAAACATATGAGTACAAATGATAATAGCCAAAGATTGATTACATTCGCAATTGAAAACAGGATGAAAATAATGAGTACGAATTTGAGGAAAAGAAACATATATAAAGGAACTACATAAATATCAACCACGTAAACAAACCACATCTTAATACAAGAAAAATTCGCCAATTTATTAACAAATGTAAAAACGTGCAGAGGGGCTGATAGAAATAATAGAAAAATACAATAATTAACAAGCATAAATGGAAAAAACTGCCACCTATATTCAGTTTTGAAAAACTGCGAAAATTTGAGGTGGTGCAGGATTATCAAAAGAATATACAAGAAAGATTCATTTTTGTGGACCAAGCATATTTCGAAGATTGATAAAGTTTTAAAACATCTCTAATAAGTTTTGTTAGTGTACTGTATGGAAATGTGTGTTCACTGCGCAGTACCAAGAAATGCTGTTCTCGCGATAAATAAATAATTAATATTTTTTCTTTACTCTCTTTTCCAAATCGACGATAAAACGATCATTCGGCCCAGTATATAATTATTAAATTAAATAGTGATATTGGAACTTCTAAGATTCAAAGGTATAGGTTATAAGAAAAACACCAATACAACCAAAAGTGATAACAGCTCATGGAGAACAACTGTATTAATGCAACAATGCAATTAAAATACGTATAGAGAAAACCCGAGCTGCATTTTTTAAGTTAAAGAAAATCTTATATGGAAACAATGTTACTTTGAGACTGAAAATTAGATTAATAAGATGTTTTTTAATCCCTATTCTTTTATATTCTTTTATAATATGGTATCGAAGGTTGTACTTTAACAGAAACACTTTTTAGAAAACTTTAGAGGTTTTTAAATCTGGGTGTATCGGAGAATTCTTCGAATAAGTTGAGTAGTCAGAACAGTAAAAAATCTCAAACTGGAATGTTTGGGCCATGTTATGCGTCACCCAGAGAGATATAATATATACTTCGTTTAATGCTACAAGGTACAATAGATAAAAGATGGGAGCCAGGTTTAAAGACAAACGTCATGGCTTAAAAACCTGAGATAATAGTTTAACAGATCCTCTGCATCCCTTTTCTGGGCTGCCGTCAACAAAATTAGTATAGGCAATTTGATTGCCACCGCACGATAATCAAGCACGGCACAAGCAGAAGAATACACTTTTAATAATTACCAAGTAATTAAGATATATATATATATATATATATATATATATATATATATATATATATATATTATATATATATATTATATATATATATTATATATATATATATATATATATATATTATATATATATATATATATTATATATATATATATTATATATATATATTATATATATATATATATATATATATATATATATATATTATATATATATATATATATATATATATATTGGAAAAGGAGTACGACCGCCAATCCAATATATATAAGGATCACTCAGACGAGTGGTGGGTTCTTATATCGGTCTCAAGGTGGAGAAATAAAAGACAAAGTTGATAGGCTACTTTATCTATTTTGAAGACGTTTCGCTTTCGAGTTTTGAAAGCATCATCAGTTCATCTAAAAAGTACAATATGAGAACCACACAATCACGGAAACGATAGGAAAAAAATCGGAAGAAATTTATGACTACAACTCTTTCAATAATGCACTTAAAATAAGTGAATCTACGAAATATTCGTTAAATAATTTAGTGGGCTTTTTACACGCATTTTCTGGTTGTGATACAACCTCTGCATTTTTTTATCAAGGAAAAAGCAAAATTTTTAAATTGGTTTCAACAAATAATGATATATGGCAAGAAGCAACCATTTTTAATGAAAAAAGTGCCAGTGTCTTTTTTTATGGATATTGCCATGAAGCGCATTACGTAAAACTTTTCATATAAAAAGTATTTGGCAAGACCAGGGTATTTGTTTAAAAACGAGCCCTCTATCACTTATGGTTACATGGCAAATGTATGCCAACTTTGACCTTCAATATCTCGGCAACCAGTAAGCCGAATGTATCTTTTTATTTTTTAAATGAAGCGTATTTTAATGTTCTTTAAGTGTATACATTTTGAAATTGATATGTTTAAAGCTCGTAAAGTAATTTAATTTGTTTATAAGCCTAAAAATTGTTTATAACTATAAAAAAATTTTAAGGCTCTCCTAGTGAACCGATTTGAATTTTACAAAAGGCGTTTGAAAGTTTGAGACTTCCTTGATATGTTAAAAAAAATTGCAACTATCTGAGGGCCTTATTTAGGGCCTACTATGAATTTGAAAATTTGCGATTTTTTTCCAGTAGGCTGGATTGCAAAATTATAATGCAAAACCTATCCGACCAATCTTAACAAAATTTAGCACACGTTTTAAACATATTAAAAAGTTTTTCTAGGCGGAACATGAAACTTGTAAGTCAAGTTTAGAGAGTCGAAAACATTTAAAGGATTAACTTCATTTTTTTGTACTTTTTTTTTCCAATTATTGCTATTTTTTCAACAATAACCAATAAATTTTTCATTTCTAGCTAACAAAATATTGTGTAAGATTAAATAACGAAACTTTTAACTTTTTATAATTTTTTCTCTAGGATCACTATTTTCCGAATTATAAATGAAAATAAGAGCAAAAAAATGAGAAATTTTTAATTGTTTTCAGATTTTGTTAAATAAAAAATTTAGCACAGGGTTTGCGACTGGCGCATATCGTGATTATCGATACTGGA